CCGGTTAGCGCGGTCGATGCTAATAATAAAAACACACACACACACACAATCCGGTTTGACATCAGCTCGCACAAATTAGGTGATTCTCCATTTATTCTCACATGTTGCGTCACACATCACAAATGTGCACTTGTAGATCTACTTCGATGGAGAGTGAAAACTACGGCGTGTAGACCTCCTCTGAGCACAGACAGTATTTTCTAGACGTGTTTTCCGCGCACCAACGCCACGAATAAGACCAACCCTCGATTTGGTTTGTGGTCTTTCGTACAAAGTAGGCGTTCATTGTCATGCTGCTTGGGGTTGTCAAGAGCGTACCACATCACGCTATTTATTTTCGCTTGCTTCCAGAGACACTCGTGCGCCCATCACATGAAAGTCCACCACCGCTCGACACCTGTCGTGCCCGAAGTCGTTTTAGTTGTCGGCTACAACAACCGCGGCTTCGGAGGCTACGTCGTTTACTTCCTCTGTGTAGGTCTCAATCTTACATCACACCACGAGGTGCACCAAGACTTGTAGGTTGAGGCTACGTCGTTTACTTCCTCTGTGTAGGTCTCAATCTTACATCACACCACGAGGTGCACCAAGACTTGTAGGTTCCATATGAATCAAGTCTAATTTCTCTGACCTCAGGTGCTGATGGATGGGGGTGATCCAAACTGGTGAACGTAGCATGTGTTCTCGCGAACTTGCATTCAATCGTCCGGCAAGGGGAGCCAGCTGCTTCAGTCGACACAACCTTTCCAACCTCTGTCTCCAAAGGGCACGGCCCGCGTTAGTTTTACCCTCGGCGACACAACACGATAACGGCGGCCTTTGAATCAACATGGCGTCTAAAAAGAAGAAAACAACGTTTCACTTTAACGGAATAATACCGTGTCGTTCTTGCACGCGGTTACAAACTCGCCCATCGACATTGCACGTCGAACCCCCGATACCGAATACGCAGACGAAAGTGTGGTGGCTTTCAAGTGTGCAAAGCATACAAACACAACCACGTGCGTGGCAGTATAGCAGACGAAAAGGCAACACACATACATACGGCTAGCCGCGCACTGCGATCCTGCCGTCTGCAACTATTACAAGATGACTGCTCTATTTCCCGTGGAAAATGCATTCTCCAAAGGCGATACGTGTATGGGTGTGTGTGGCGCTTGCGTGCCCTTTGCTTCCCAAGTGAATTAGAAGTCCGTCTTGAGAGAAGCGGGGCAGCCGCGAAGGGAGTGGTACGCCTTCAGACGGGTGGAGTTGATGCGGATGAAGCCCTGGATTGTCCGGGGGGGGGGGGCAAAAACAAGAAGAGCCGATGGGAAAAGGGGGGTTACACGGATCCCTGTTACGCTGCAGCGATAAAAAACGCTCGTGCACCTCGTTCCTGCCGGTGAATTCCGTTGGCTTCACGGTCAAACGTGTCGGCCCGGTGTCGTCCATCATTTCTTACGTAGTAGACCGATTTCAGGGCATGATGCAACGCTTTGAGATCCCCCCGAGCGAGAAACTGGCTTCTTTAACCTCTAAAAACGAAAGGCACACGACAAAGTAGAGCAAGATGGACGAGAATCATGTCCGACGTTAGGGAGCACAGCCAGACAAACCGAAAAATATACTAACAATAAGTGAAAACATTCACTGTGAGAATAAACTCGCGGACTTGCACTAAAATACACCACGTTTCTTGCACCCCTGAACAGGGTGAAGTGAAACTATACACTATAATAGCTAAACGGGCCCATGAAATCGCCAGCTCCCACTACCTCCCAAGCCCAAGAAGATCACGGCCTTGAAGCCCAATCAACAGCCGTACACAGCACGGAAGGCCCATTGGGTGCACTACAGCAGCATTGCCAAGGGCGCCGGTCTGCCAACACGGAGAGATTCGTCATCGGGAGCTACTTTCGCTTGCCTGTGCGTCCGCGGGTTCGTAATCGATGGAGCCCCCGTCCTCAATCTCCATGGAGGCAAGGTCCGCGCTGTAGAGGCTCTTGGCGCTCTCGCGGCCGGTGACGGTCATGTTGCCCTGCCGAACAAAAACCAAGGATCATGATTGGATAATCGCATCGGTCGGTTGGTTGAAAGAGTTGTACACGTGGAAAGTTCCACGTTGTTGTTGTTGTTTCTCACATTAGCTCTATAGTCCACAAAAAATGGGGAGCCCGTGGTCTCAAAACCCGGCACATACGACGCCGCGAGAAAAAAAAAAAAAAAATAGGATACAAACCACTCGGAAAAAGAAAACAAAATGACGTGTGGGAGGGCGGAGAACAAAAAAAATTGTCCGACCATCGTCTCCTAAGACATCGACATCAACACCATCCAAAAGAGCGCAAACAACAGCCAGCAGCAACAGACGAGTGATGATCGTTCCAAAAACCATGCGCAGGACAATATCCAACTTTTTCGTGGCGAAAATCCACAGGTCGTGAACCGTGTGACCAACGAGAGTCCCTCGATATACTGCTGTACCTTGTACAGCGCAACCTCCACCGCTCCCTCCACGTCCTTTTGGCTGAAGTCGATGGCGTGCTTGACGAGCTCCATCTCAGGGGCGTACCTGTGACCATCACCGGGAAAAAAAAAGTTCAACAACGTGGAAGCGTACACGGGAATGTAGGATATATGGGGAAAAGTACCACGGTTCTTCAAATGCAGAGGCCGTTCAACGCAAAGCCGCTAGGGTCTCGGAAGCTTGGGCGATGACAAATGGAACGCCCTGTCGTGCGCCAAAAACACGGTTACGTGCAGCGATGACTCATGTGTAACACAGACGTCACAATGGAAAACAGATTCATGCCTCCTGCGGCACTCGTGCCTGTGCATACGCTCAAAAGCTCTAGCTTGCGCAGCTCTTTTCGGCTGCCCCCACAAACGACAGCAAACAGTACGTACCACACGCCAATAATGCTGCATTTTATGGTGTCCATAACTTCAGGGTCTCTACATAAGAGCACCGCCAACGAGTCTACGCTTTGTATGCGGGGTGATGAACGTATAATTTGCTTCCACTTCTCCCTTCTTCCCCTCGCTCCTCGACAAGCTTTTGCTTAAGACATGGGTTGTAGTGAAGGGGGGGTCTTTCTGGCGAGCAGGGCTAGATTCACCCTCAAGGGATGACCGAAACCTTCTTGCTGCTGCGCATATCCGCCGCGAGGCATGCGCGTGGTGGTGTAGTTGGGTCGGCACTGATGGGGTCAGGCGAAAAAATGTAGATG